TTTTTCTATCAAATAGAATATATATACTTTGCCAAACTTTTAAACAGTTCCTGAATTTACAGCAAAATGTTACATTAGCACGTCAGAAATACACATACTGTATCCATGTTGTTTCATGGCTAATCTATAATTGACATGTTTATTCCCACATTTTATCTGCCAAATATTCTAATGCATCATCTTCAATTACTAACAGTATAATGTAAGTGATCAATATTGGTATCTAGTATCAGCATCTATATAAATACATTATATATACTGTACATTAATTATACTGTTATTAATCGTGGAATGTAGCTGCATATACCTGATATTAGATTGTGTCCTCTTCTCCTGACAACAACCTGACAGATTTAGGAATCATCCACAGTAACAGACTTATCAGGGAAAATTATTTCATACATTAAAGGCCTTCAGTAGTTTTTTTTGAATGAAAAATACTGATGTGATAATTCAAGCACACAGGGGATTTAATCGGTTTTGTGAATGTGCAGTGAAACCAGATGGCCTGCTTGTAGTCTCTCTGGGAAATCGACCCAGTTGGCCACATGGACCTTTGCCCATTATCAGACTATTACACACACACACACAAACACTCAAGCTGCTCTTGATATAACAATTTGTAGCCTACATTTGTCTTCGTATTTTTCTTTATCCACAATTATACACAGAGTCATTTTAAAACACTTCACAATGTCTTATTGGTTATCATTTTAAATCATTTGTAGATACATTTTCCTTCCATTCAGATTAGCCTATTTGATTATTCTCACTCTGCTTGCTTACCTTTGAATAATATGTATGGCTGAAGTGCTTTTTTCCAAATTTGCCTCTCTTAAGCCAATGAAATGATGGCAAAAGAGCAGTGATAACTGTATCTATTAAAGCAAAGGAGATAAAACAGCTCCTTTGTGTCCATATTTGTGAACCTTGACAAGTTTTCCTTTCTGTCTCACACAAAATAATACAAGCCATCCGTATCTACAGTTAGAGGTCAACGTTTAGTCTAAGGTTTTGTTTTCGCTCTAGGCACAAAAGACCTGAAAGCTTGAGTAGTTGAATGTAAGAGACTGCAAACAAATCTCAAGAATGAGCATTTAATATTGTAATGATTATGCCTCATTTACTTTGAGTCCAGTCAAACAAGAAGAACTAGATTGAGTTAGTCTTGATCAATGTCAATGTACTAGCCTTTATGTTTTCTTTCGTATCAACCCTTTTCAGGCTCCAGGTTGGGCCTTCTTTCTCAGCGCCTTAGGTCTCTTCATCTACCAATCACTGGACGCCATTGATGGAAAACAGGCCAGACGGACCAATAGCAGCTCAGCTCTTGGGGAGCTCTTTGACCATGGCTGCGACGCCGTTTCTACAGGTATAATCAGCTAGACAACCTTTCACCATTTAGTTATGAGTAATATTTAGTAGTGTTTTTGTTAAGCATCACTATTATTGCTTAACATCTATGGTTAGTGATCGGAACAAACGACTTTTGCAACCACTTAGCAACACCCACCATTAATAGTATGTTAAAAAACAACAACAACTAGTTTTTTTATATTGTTGTTTACAATAATCATATTTATCAAATGCCATTTGTTGTTTATTATTATTTATTACATATAGTATATATTAACAGCACTCTAATTGGATTGCTCTCTTAGTGTTTGTTGCCGTGGGAACATGTATATCCTGTGGGATCGGCACTTATCCTAACTGGATGTTTTTTTGCGGCTTCGTGGGCATGTTCATGTTTTTCTGTGCACACTGGCAGACATACGTGTCCGGGACACTCCGCTTCGGATTGTGAGTGCATTCACTGCTTATTCGCCTGAATTTATTGAACCTGTCTGTGTGATGTTATTTTTTTAACTGTACTGTATTTTTGAATGTGTTTTGCAGGGTTGACGTGACTGAAGTCCAGATTGCTATTACAATTATGTATCTGATGACAGCATTTGGAGGAGTGAGTCTTTGGGAGACTAGGGTACGTCATTCACCTTCTTTAGCATCACACTGAGCCTCTGAAGTTTCTTCCTCGTTCATAACGTTTAGAAATTCACTCCCATTTTAATCGCTGAAGTTGTCCACACTGGAAGGGTACATTGTGGCCAATCACAAAGTGCTTTCAAATGATGGACACGGTGTTTTTTTTTTCTTGATGCAGCTCTACTTATTTTCCCTAATTGGTCTGACATAATACGATTTTACTTACAAGTATCATATTGTGTGAACTGACTGCTATTTTACTTAATATATATTTAAATAACTTATGACAGTTACATCAAAGTCAGCTTGTGATGTTGCTGGCCTACTAATTTAAAATCTGTTAATTACAAATTTAGCTTTAAACCATGTGCATACTACGGCTATGTCAAAACAATCAATACATATTGCAATTAATTTTCCTCACAATTTCACATCTATTTATTAATAGTTTTTAATTTATTTACAGGTTTATTTACATAATACCAACAACAAATATTGATATAATAAAAAAAGTGTGTGCATAATAACCTGCTTAATAATTATGCACATCTGAATACAAGGCATTTTTCACTTCCAGCCCCCATTAACAATTAAATATCATTTATAAATCATTATGTACAAAGTTCAATAGTACTTATACAATAGTAGTTATTAAGATAGAGGTGGTTTGGAATTGGTCAAATGTACTTGGAAAAACAAATATGATCAGAATATTATTGACTTAGATAATTATGCATGCACTATATATATTAATAGAATAATAATAATAATAAAAATATGAATATAAGTAAATATAAATATATATCTCTTTTATTCATTTTTATTTACACGTTTATTAATAATATTAACAATAATAAGAATGATGATAAATTGGTGACTATCACATCTTTTTTGTTAACATTTTTGTTTATTTGCATGTTTGTTCACATAGAAACATTCTAATATTAAATATAATAACCTCAGTTGCAGTGTGGCATGCATTCAGGCGCTTCCAGTGTATACACAGTGTCAGAAAATTATTTTAAAAGGGTTCTACAGACTGTATATTTTATTTAAAAAAAAATAAGAAAAAATATCAAATCCTCCAAAACTGTGAATCATGACAGAGCCCCCTTTCTGAGTGTGTTCTTTAAGTAGACCTGTCTTTTGCTCTCTGCCTCGTGCCTCCTCTCTGAGGACAAACAGACTGTGAAAAGGTAAATATAAGGTGAAAACTGCTACTATGGCTACCAGTCACCCATAGACATTGCCAAAAAAACAAAAAGGCACATCAGTCTTTTCTAACCTCTCCCTATTTTATAAAGCTTGCTCAGAGCTTCAGCCCCGCCCCTTCCAAAATAACAGCTGTTCTCATATTAAGGCATTGATTTTCTCATTCTTTCACCCAGGTGCCTGTTCTTGGTGTGAATTTGCAAACCTTTCCCATTCTCGGTATTATCGGTGGGTTTCTGTATTCAACCTATAACTACTTCTATGTCATCCTGAACGGTGGCGTGGGCAAGAATGGCTCAACTGTTGCAGTGAGTGCTCTCCAGCAGTGTATTCATCACTGAGTAGATTTCTTGTTCTTAAAAGCATTGATTCCTATTTGCAGTCATGTTTTTAGCTTAGTTCTTCTTATAATAGCTCAGTTGCAAGATTTAATGTAAGGCAAAGATTTTTTAAAAAGAAAGAAAAAAAAAAGTGATCTCGTTAGGGTAAATAGAGCACCTGTCTTCCTCAGGACACCAGTGTATTGTCTCCTGGTCTACACATCGGCCTCGCCCTCTCTCTGGCCTTCATCATCTTTAAAAAGTCCTCCAGTCAGCTTTTCGAGCACCATCCTTGCCTTTACATCCTTACATTTGGCATGGTGATCGCCAAGATTGCGAATAAGCTGGTGGTGAGTGCTGCTGATGCCTTTATGAGAAGTCAAAATTGTTATTTGGCCCTTGTAATCATGAGCTTCATAATTTTCATAAACAGTCATCCAAAATGCATCAGGAGTTTTCAGGTATGCTTTCTTTTACAGGTGGCCCACATGACCAAGAGTGAGCTTCATCTTCAAGACACAGCCTTCATTGGTCCTGGACTCCTTTTTCTAAATCAGTATTTCAACAGCTTCATTGATGAACACATCGTGCTTTGGATCGCCATGGTGAGCCACAACCATTACTGGGTCAAACCGCTAGTATGGCACCACTGCGCTTAAGTGTTTTCAATGTTTTTAAATATAGTATCTGAGGCAAAACTTAACGGGTCGGTCTCTTCTCCATCCTGATGTTTAGGTGCTGTCCCTGGTGGATCTGCTGCGTTACTGCACAGGCCTGTGTCTGCAAATCGCCTCCCACCTGCGAATCCGGGTTTTCAGCATCACCCCACAGGGCCACGCACACAGAGACTGACAATTTGCCCGGCGGGAGGAGGAAGCGGGATTTAAGGATGAAGACATTGTCCCGCTTCTCAAGCTAGAGCAGGAGAGCCCCACCAACCAAAACCGCAACGGCCTTGACAGTGTGACCACCACAGACCAACAGAATTGAACGTTTTGCCAGGTTTGACCAGACCAGCTTGCATTGTTTTTTTTAACCACACTACTGTACACTAGAATATATCACTGGATAAAAAGAAAAGAGTTTAGACAATGAAATGTCCAAAACGTGGCCTTGGGGGCCAGAGGGCAGCATAGCCTTGTTGCCTTGAAAGGATTCATTCTGTGCAGGAACACATTAGAAATTATTTTTTTTTTTTCAAAGGATAAAGAAGGAAATATTGGTGGGAAATCAAACGTTAACTGAATTTGAATTGGCCAAAAACTTTTTGCATAGAATCATTTCCTAAATATTTTGCATCCAAACCATTTGGTCAAAGATGAGCAAAAGAATTTTAAAAAATAATGGATGAAACTTTTTTTTTTTTCCCACAATAGTATTTATCACAATAGATTTGTACTTTGTTTTTTGGGTTTGATCATGTTTGTCAAATTTGAACAAAAAAGGGAAGCTACAACTGCAATTTGGGCATCAGTTGCCATTAACCAAAGTCCATTTTCGACATTGAAATAGCCATTATTTAATTTAGGCCCATTTTTATAGGTCTGATCTTGATAAATACAACAGACGCAAATATTACAAACATATTTCTCAGTTTTAAGGGCTGATATAGTCGCCAAAACTGCCAAAAATAGTTTACACCACAGAACCTTTTTTACCATGCAGAATTTTTACTGTTGTTAAAAAAGCAGCTATTTGTAGATCATGTGACACTTTATAGAAGAAAATAAGCTCCAGAAAAGAAAACTGCCCAAAAAGCCATTGTAGCTTGAAGTAAAAGAGAACGTTTTGTGATTGTCCAGTGATTACAGTGCATGTATTTATTTGAATAATCTGACTGAATTTAGTGTGAAATTAAGTCAAGCCTGTTTAAAACAAAAATAATAATTGAAAGAACTTAATTGTCAAGGATTGTGGCTATGCGCTAAAAACAGACTCATCTCTCCACCCCCCCTCCCCAGTCACCCAATTGCAGTCTGCTCAGTCTTCCTGGTTGTGTGTTTCACTTCCTAGAGCTTGAACCGAGCACAAACAGAGTTTTTGAGCATTGCCTTTAGCTCTGTTTTGAGGGATTTTGGGGGGTGTTCATCTTCTGTGCCCGTTTTATGATGCACTCTCTGCCTGCTTAGAATCATCTCCTTCCAAAGGGCTAATAAAAACAATAAATTTTGTGTGATTTGAATATAGCACGGTCTAAATTCCGGTTCTTATGTGTTTTGGGGTCTTCATACTTTGTACATTTCCTCCTTCTGGAAGCAAGAATCAAATACACATAACAGCTAAAAATGTGACTCAACAGGAGCAGCAACATTTGCTTGACCAATGATATTAACCCAGTCAATGACAGTTCAAAACAACAAGGCATATCAATGCAGTAAAGATTTTTAATTACCATATTTGGCTGTTTCATTACGCATCAGTGTTCAGATTATGTTCTTATTTCATTATCAAATTAGGCACCTGGTTTAATTTACATTTGACACAAAAGTGGAAAAGTGTCCTAAAATAAGTGTACTTTGACAGAATTTTAGCAACATACATTTCCAAAATAAAACAAAGATATGCTTGTACATTACAATTATGTCTTTTCTAATATAATAAATAAAAGTAAACTGGGAAATTCATCTCAGAACAGCATTATCATTCATCACGTTTCCTAAACTCAAGCCTGTTTTATAAGGCATGTATGCCCTGCAGAGGTTTGGGGTCAGTAGTCATAGCGTTTGAGCAAGCCAAGAACAATTCCCTTTAAAAGACAAGTGAAGGTGAGGAGTTAATTAATACACACCAGGGCCACAGGTGGTGGCATCTGAATTTCAGACAAAGTCAGTATTTAATGTCCCACTAAGAGACAATCACATGAAGGATTTCAAGCAAAAACCACATGCATTTAAAAAAGAGAAAGAGAAGGAAATGGCTCATTTTTGATGATCCTTGCTAAAATTTCCAAGTATCAGGATTGCTATTCGGTTGTAAAAATGCTCCCGGAGATTCTGTGCCACTTTGGAGTAAGCAAGCGTGAAAGACAAATTCAGACAAATGCAAAAAGCCAAACGCAAGGCAGAAAGTTCCAGCCATGCATCAGAGTCCACTGCTTTCGTTCATGTGGTAAAGAAAGGCACTGCAAGGATGAGGAAGGAAAGACAGGACAAAGAGAACAACCCTTAACGGGTAGTATCTTTACCCTTGACATTTCCTTATAAATTAAAAATCCTATTTCAAATTATTACAATTCAGACACGCAAGGTAATATGGCAACACATTCAATATGGGCCATTGAGTTCAGTTCACATTCAATACACAACCTAGAGTGTGATCGCTTGCCTCGTGGGCCCCAGCGTGTCTCACTAATGCCCCTTTGTGGAGGAAGTTTCTCCATCAACTTCATCCAGTCACCTCCAAATGGGCATTTTTATCTGACCGCATTAACAGAAGTACGACTGTGGTACTTCAAACTCACAAGACACAAGCTCTGAGAAAGGAATAACCTCACACCCGCTCTGGGTTCGCATCCTTGCTGACCCTGCGCCTGGGGAAAAGCCACCGTTTCAACATGATCAGCTGAGGGACAGAAAGAAAAGGAAGAGGAAGGAGTGTCAACCAAACCTGTTATGAATGCTATGCAACTTGTGACAGACACGTGATACACATACAGTATAGAAACAAGATCGACATATGACCAAAACAGGGAAGAAAGGGGAACAAAAGACTAATACCATAAAGACTAATTCTAGAATAAAACCGTATTCAGTTCAGATTCACTGAATAATTCATTACAAATTCTACATTTTTTTTGTGAATTGATTCATAAAAGTTTGACAAAGATACATGCATCACTGAACTGATTTTTTCCCGCATCCTTGCTGACCCTGCGCCTGGGGAAAAGCCACCGTTTCAACATGATCAGCTGAGGGACAGAAAGAAAAGGAAGAGGAAGGAGTGTCAACCAAACCTGTTATGAATGCTATGCAACTTGTGACAGACACGTGATACACATACAGTATAGAAACAAGATCGACATATGACCAAAACAGGGAAGAAAGGGGAACAAAAGACTAATACCATAAAGACTAATTCTAGAATAAAACCGTATTCAGTTCAGATTCACTGAATAATTCATTACAAATTCTACATTTTTTTGGTGAATTGATTCATAAAAGTTTGACAAAGATACATGCATCACTGAACTGATTTTTTCCACCCACGCCTTATGAAGTGCTATTTAAAAATAAAAATAAATCAATTATTTTATTAATTTTAAAAAGTACTTTCAACTACTTTTCCGTGTCTTTCAGAAATATATCCATATTTACAAATGTTTAATTGTTTAAACAAATAAACACGTATTTTAAATCACAAATTTAGCTGAAATGTTTGAAAATGGTTAAATGTGAATGGAAAAAAATTGTGAAGAAAAATTCAAACTGACGAATAAATAGACATATTTAAAGCCATTTCAATAATGTTTAAAATGATAGTTAAATGCAACAATACAATAGCACACATTAATAAATCATTTATAAATGGGATTAAGAAAAATAAAAGTTTAAAGTTCACTAGACAGTTCGCATGTTGAAGTGGCCAGTGAAATTTAAACTTACATTTTTCTTAAGCCAATTTGAAAATGATGAAAAAACAATGTGTAAAATGTTTTGAATAAGTCTATTTATTTTTCAATCGTACTGATTAGTGATAATAAATACATAATATTTAATGAATATAAACCATTTAAAATATATAATTTTTAATTAACACATTAATGATTGGTTACATTGCGTTTTAAGTGGCACTTCAAGCCCTTCATAACCCCTAACTAATAACACTTTAAAAAATAAAAATAATGAGAAAAAAGAGTGCTGCATATAAGCAGGAATTCTAACAAAAGAAACAGGAAGTGACTATATGAGTTAATGAGGAGACTGTAAATCTGTTCTGAAGATTGTAATCAAGTCTGTTAATGTGCTCGTCTGTCAGAGATGAGCATGCAGCCAAACATGACATGGCTCTACATGCATGTACGGCAGCAGAGGAAGCAACCGCTGATAATACATCACCTCCATATTTGTACTTCTGGTGAGTGTTCACATTACTGTTCTGTCATTAAGGACAGATGAAGACACATTGGTCCTTAAAAAGGTCACCGTGACCATTAACCTCTCCAAAAGACAGAAACCTAACCCTGCAATTAATAGTGTGACTATTTGCTGCAAGCTGCCTGGTTGATCAATCATCAGGATGATATTTTTGCCTTTACCATTTCCTTAAAAGAACACAGAGGGTTGCTGGTTAAATTTGATATATTAGTTGCTAATGGTAATGAGACTAGCCAGCCTCCACCGGACTCAGTGTTTGTGTGTGTGTGTGTGTGTGTGTGTGACAAAGTGAAATGAAGAACGAGAGATAGTGGACAATGGATGTATAAGCTGAACCGTACTGACCTGCTCAGCAAAGAATGATATGACAGTGAAGACGACTAACGTCACCAGCACACAGTGGGTCCAGAACTTCAGCTTGTCCCTGTATATTCGCCTGTGAAACAGAAGATCAAGGCTGGTTATCCCGTTACATGGTAGATGCTATAACTACACAATCTGGATCCAACAACTAACATCATTATATATTGACAACCATTCAAAAGTTGTGTACTCTGATAAAAAATACACATTTTAGCTGCATTGGTCAATGTAATTTTCTTTTCCTGCTGCTCCAGAGTGAACAGAAATGTTTTGAATAGATCTACAGTTATAGAACTCATTGCAGTTTAACTCCAAAAGTGAAGGAAATTGCAAAGCCCTTTAGGAATATAAGAGTCAAGGTCAAATATCTAATCTATATAATATAATAAAATATACACTACTGTGCAAACATTTGGGGGTTATTTTTAAGTCTTTTATGCTCACTAAGGCTGCATTTATTTGTTAAAAATTACAGTAAAACCAGAAATATTGTGAGAAACATTTGTTATTATTATTATCAATGTTGAAAACAGCTGGTGTTACTTAATAGTTTTTATAAAACTATTGTTGTGTTGCTTAAAATATATTTGCAACAGAAATCTTTTGTAATCTTTATGATCAATTTTACGCAGCACTGCTCAAATATTAAATACATAATATATTTTAGAAATATTATAAAAAATCAAAACATACACCATTTCAGAAAACTGTAATGACTCCAAAAATGTCAACTATTAATACACCTTTAATTCAGTGTACACACCTAAATCATTGTTCATTATTTAAAAAAAAAAATCAATTTTCAAGGTAAAGCTTTTTTTAAACAATTACATTTTTAAATCATAAATATCACTACCAAATGATTTGATTTCATATAAATATTGTGAGAAACATTTGTTATTATTATTATCAATGTTGAAAACAGCTGGTGTTACTTAATAGTTTTTATAAAACTATTGTTGTGTTGCTTAAAATATATTTGCAACAGAAATCTTTTGTAATCTTTATGATCAATTTTACGCAGCACTGCTCAAATATTAAATACATAATATATTTTAGAAATATTATTAAAAATCAAAACATACACCATTTCAGAAAACTGTAATGACTCCAAAAATGTCAACTATTAATACACCTTTAATTCAGTGTACACACCTAAATCATTGTTCATTATTTTTTAAAAAAAAAATCAATTTTCAAGGTAAAGCTTTTTTTAAACAATTACATTTTTAAATCATAAATATCACTACCAAATGATTTGATTTCATATCAAATTATCTGGTACTTTAATACATTTATTGACCTTGATATGCAGCTCTGCAGTCATACATTATATGACTTTGGTTTGGTGGATAAGTTATTAAATAGTAATAAATGGTTTTGTTAAAAGTTAAAAAATAAATAAAGAGATGAATAGACTACATTATAATTAATATAATAGATAATTGAAAATATGTCTGTATAGTAATGGTGAGTTCATTCACTGCTGTCAGCATACAAGGGCAGGAATGGTAATGCTGTCTTAACTCTTGCCAGATTCAAAACGGTATATTTATCAAGAGTGTGATTAACAGTTCAGTGACTCAAGTTCTGCTGTCGGAGGTGAGAGGGTGACAAGGTGACATCATCATCTGTGAGGAACACAGTCCGTTACCCTTTTGTCACCAGCGTGTCTGTGTCTGACAGAGCCAATCTGCAGATACACAGCTTTTAAAATCAGCCTATGGGGTTGCTCGAGCCTAGCAGTACCCAAAAATAACACCCTGCCCCTCGGCCTGGGCAGGTCACACGCCTCTGATAGGGCTTTATGGGGCATCTGGGTGTAACAGAGCCGCTCTGGCTAGTTGAGCATGAATGGCGAATGCACTAGTCATAATTTCCAGCCTGTAACCATCCAAAGGATCGACAGATACATAAACCCTTCTTCAACCACCTCCCCATTCCCAGAATTCCAGATTGTGTCGACAGCTATCACCCAACTTCACACAGTGATGACAGGAAGGAACGTTTACCAGTATTCACAGGAGTAAAGCAACAGAAACAGGCAATAAATCACACACAACTAAATGTAAACAGACTTGTGAAGCTCATTACAACAAAACCAAATATATCTCTACACCAATAAACCATTATATTCAGGGACTAATGATTCGAAAAGTTGTGGAGACACGTTGTAAATCTTATTGGGTTTAAATACTGCCATTTGAAAGCTTAAAGTTCATTCAAAATGATTGATGAATCAATCAGTGATTCAATTCACTCACTTCATGTTGTTCCAAACCCATATGACATTGCCATATGGGTTTCTGCCATGAAACACAAAAGGAGATATTTTGAACAATGTGCTGGCTGCTCTTTTTCATGCAATAAGTAAGCCTTAAAAAGGCTTAAAGAATGAAATTTTAGTTTATTCTTTACACAAAGCTATCACATGACATCTGAATTATAGTAAATAACTCAAATGGACAAATTTTACGGTGTTTTTGTATCCTCATTGTGGCTTCATAAGCTTGTGTACATTTTATGTGCATGCGTGTTAAATTTAAATTTGTCAAAATCAATTTAATTTAATTGGTACATTTTTGAGGCTTGAAGTTCTAGCACCCATTCACTGTATGGTCACATTTTTCAAAAACAGTATTTTTGTATTATTTATATGCAATTTTATAGTATTATTTATTACTCTGAAATAGTTGTTATTTGTATATTTTCAGTTTTCACTTTAATTTGAAAGTTTTTGTAATACTATTTTTATTTTAGTTTTAGAAATTTTAGTTCAACTTTTATTTCAGTTAGTTGCCAAGACTACATTTCCGATTTTCATTTAGTTTTCTTCATCCAAGTTTTATTTTTTAATAGTTTTTATTAACAATAACAACACTGCTTCAAAAATATCCTTTTTTTTCCGAACTGGAAGTCATGCAGGTTTGGAACAACATGTTCAGTTTTTAAATCAGTGTTTTATGTGGACAGATACTTTTGTTTTCTTTACACTACCATAAAGATTAAATAATTCTTTATTTAGGTTTAATGGCTGCTATGCCTTTATTCCAACACTTTTGTTTTTTATTTTTCATGTCGATTAGGTCCATTACTTTCATATTAAACTATTAAATCTCTTTCTGTCGAGGGTTTCACTACTCCTACCAGACTTGGTGTGTTCTGTTCATACTTCAGATTCGGTAATGGAACTTGAAGTATGTACACAGACCTGTTTGACTTGTCTTTGTTAAATGCTTATTTAGGTTTCTGTCTTTTGCACAAACATGCACTGCATGGCTGTTTGTGACTAAACTCTTACCACTCCTGCAGCTCTGTCATGTGGAGGAAACGGTTTCTGTATTCTCTGGGCAGCTCAAACTGAGAGGGCAATGGGAACATTGACTCATAGAAGTCCCTCAGTACAGCTTTGACTGTGCTGGCATCTTTATGGCTGTGGTCAATATTGTCATTCAAGCAGATAAACTTCCTGTAGGCAAAAAAAAAAAAAAAGTGTATGAGGCTTCCCCAAGGTGCGCAAAAAAAAACAGGAACGAAAGCCCCTGATTGTACCTAGGGTTCTTCCTGATGTCATCAAGCTGCCCCACTACATGAGAGACGTTGGTCCGTATCATCTTAAAGGCGATCTCCTCTTCGCCCATAATTTCAAATCTGAAAAGAACAAGAGCCTACATAACTAACCCGGTCTCATAAGAGATGCTGCTGAAGTGTTTGTGGGAACTTAATGAAAATCCTACTTGTATTTATTCTGGTCCTTGAAGGCTTTGTGGATCCTCTCTGTGATGTGATTGCAGTGGATTACTAAACCTTTTGTGACGGGTGGCTGTAGGAACATCAAAACACTGATTTTTTTTTTTAACAGTACCAACAAATGCACAGACAGAAGAGCTGATGATAAAAAAAAAAAAAGTGTATGAGGCTTCCCCAAGGTGCGCAAAAAAAAACAGGAACGAAAGCCCCTGATTGTACCTAGGGTTCTTCCTGATGTCATCAAGCTGCCCCACTACATGAGAGACGTTGGTCCGTATCATCTTAAAGGCGATCTCCTCTTCGCCCATAATTTCAAATCTGAAAAGAACAAGAGCCTACATAACTAACCCGGTCTCATAAGAGATGCTGCTGAAGTGTTTGTGGGAACTTAATGAAAATCCTACTTGTATTTATTCTGGTCCTTGAAGGCTTTGTGGATCCTTTCTGTGATGTGATTGCAGTGGATTACTAAACCTTTTGTGACGGGTGGCTGTAGGAACATCAAAACACTGATTTTTTTTTTAACAGTACCAACAAATGCACAGACAGAAGAGCTGATGATACAAGACGTGCCAACCAAGACAATATTATAGTGTACAGCCTAAAGCTATGCATGGACAAGTTGATGATCACTTAATAAGCATTTTGTGAGATTTTATAGTCTAATATTTGACTTGTATACTTGTGTTGGAATATTTATTAAGACTTTGAACAGTAGCTCTCACCATGCTGGGGTCATAATAGGCCTCCTGGGTTGGGCTGACAGTATGGAGTTGCGTAAGGTTGGACGGAAGAGTCTTCGAGCAGTTTATAAGCATCTGCTCCAGACTGGTCAAATCCTGTTTAGAGTCAAATAAACAGACATGCCTTTCCTCAACACATGGGTAAGACAGACAATCATGTGGTGTCCCAAAAAAATAAAGTTATACATGCCTTGTGTTCACGTCACAAAACCACTTCCTGAGGTTTTGTTGTGCACATATTTGACTGTCCTGCTTCATTGTTAATCGTTTAATTTCTATTTTTTAAATTTAATATAAATGTAATAATATAAAATAATTAAATCACAATTTACTTTAAATTTATTTAAATGACATTTTAAATGGAAATAAATTAGACTAAAATTAAAAAAACAAATTAGACTAAATTAAATTAATTAAATTACAATTTACTTAAAATTTAACCAAATGACATTTTAAATTCAAATAAATTAGAATACATATTAAATTAAACAATTACATTTTAAATAAAATGAGACTACATTTTAAATACAAAAATATATCAACTACATCAAATTAAATGTAACTACATTTTAAATTAAATTAGACTGCATTTCAAATGAAAATAAATTAGACTACATTAAATTAAACATTTAAAAATAAATTTACATTTGAAAATAAAATAATTTAATCTATATTAAAATATTACATTTTAAATGAAATTCTAAATTAAATATTATTTTGAAAAATATATATTTTTTTTATGTAGTAATCAAGTCATTTTCTCTGTACTGTGGTGAGAGGGTGGTGTGTACCTGAAGGCTTAAGGGGAGTTCATGGATTCGTGTGGCCAACGTGCGAATCTCACGATCAGACAGCACGCCAGAGTGGTCCGTGTCAATTTCGTCAAACACTTCAGATATATTGAGCTGCTGCACTGCACTCATCAAGAAGTAGAAATAAGAAAAGGCAAACTGCATGTCCTCTGAGTGACGCACACGGTGGGACGAGGTCTTATCAAACTCCTGAGGGAAGCTGAAGGAGCAAGATATCAAGACAAAAAAAATAAAATAAAAAAAGATTAATTCATATTCATTTACTTTTACACTGAAGGAATTTTTGAAGACATCTGAATTTCGGTGCCAAAAATTTTGTTGCATTACTTTAAAATCACTTAGTCAATCTATAGATTAACATTCAATTGGTACATAAGTCTGTGTGTATGTTGTGACTCTTACGTGTCCTGTAGTTCCTGCATGACAAGCCTGTCAATCATGTGAGGCATGTGAGCAGGCACTTTGCGGGAAGTGAAGCCGAACTGAGCATTCAAGAGTCTGTTGACATAGCGGAGTGAATCAGCAAAAGTGTCCCGCAACCTGTGTCCAGTGGTGGTCCCGTCAGCTGCATACTGCAGTTCTCTCTGTAGATGCTCCTCTTCCTGTGATGCACAAAAAAGACACATCAATGAATGGGAGAGATTGCAATACTTAATGTGGCAGCAAGAAGTCCTGCCTTTCAGTTACAAGAGACAGTTTTGTTTACTCTAGAACAGTGGTTCTACAGTGAACAATGGAACAGTGGTTCTCAACCTCATCATATCTATCCATCCATCCATTAAAATATCATTAATATGTATATGAATATTCATAATTTTAATAT